TATATATATATATATATATATTACCAATTGCATTGTGCAAAGGCTCGCCAGTCTCTTTATCCCACACCAATGTTGTCTCCCTTTGATTAGTAATTCCAATAGCTTTGATATCAGAGACTGATAGGCCAAAGTTCTTTATCTTTCTCAAAGTCTCTTCTATACATGCTATGACAGCTTCTAATATTTCTTTCGGGTCCTGCTCCACCCATCCTTCTTGTGGATATTTCTGTTTGATTTCAATTTGATGCAAAGCCACTACATTTCTACGTAATACGTCAAACACCTAAGAATAAAAAAATTTTTTGATACAATAATACATCTGTTTGTGTTAAGAATCGTCTTACCAAAAATCTAGCGCTACTTGTCCCCTCATCGATAGCGCCTATCAAAGGCCCGGTTTTCTTGACATTTTCAGGCATATCGCTTTTTAAAATTTATAAAAATACGTTCTGAGTGATTACTTTTCATGGAAGATATGGAACATATATTAAGATACTATCATATATTGTGGTCGTATCTATCTACAAAAACAGTCTGATTTCGGCCAATCGATTTTCGATTGGCTCATGTTAGTTTGCTCTCATTATGGCAGTACGAATCACAATGTAAGGAAATGGCACACTTATTGAAAATCTTGTAGATATGAAATAATGTAAAATATTTTTTATTGATGTATTTCATATTATAATTATGAGAAAATGTTATAATTGTAAAGAAATAATATAATTATGAAAAAATATAATATATATAATTTGTTTAATAAAAATATGAAATTTCAAATAAAAACAGTTTTAAATAATGGCTAGTATCAAATGTGTTCCGCACACATCTTCGCAAAGGAAAAGCATCGGTGGGAGAGATAAAATGAGCGCGTTTAAGTTGACAAAGCGGCTAGCCTGCTAGCTGAGCAAATGAGTATAAAGATTGCTGATGCTCGACGTTCATTTTTGGCGTCAAAATAAGTCACGTGATAAAAATTGACGAATATCAAGCGCCAATTTTGATCTCGTGACCTATTTTGGTGGTCCATTTGATTACCGATAAAGTATTATTAAAAAAATTTTTTTTTAAGGAAATTCGTGTACTTATTAAAATTTAAGTGATTAAAAATAAACAAGTAATACGGTACTAATTTCATAATTTATTAGTTTTGTAAACATGTATTTAAAACTTAATAATACTCGATTTTTATTTAAAACTGTGATTTTAATGTTATCATCCGAGTTTGATTATCAATAGAGATTGCAGAGAAAAAATTGTAATTTTTCAGCAATATATAAGATATTATTGTATTGAAAGTATGCATATTTATTTATACAGCATTTATGTAATAAAAAAATCATGAATTTAATAATGTATTATTGAAATATTTATGTTAATAATCATAAATTTTTATTAATTATCGGTAACGTTCAATTATACCCGGGTCTCATTGATAGTCATGAAAATTTACTCAGAGTCGAAGGATTTTAATATTTCGTGACTTGATGCTACAAATGCTTCAAAGCATTTTTTGATTGGTTAATTAGTAAAATTCTTTCTTTCTATTGATCAATTAAATGCTTCGAAGCATTTGTAGCGTCAAGTGGACAGCATCCTTTAAAATGCATTTTTTACGAGCTGCTCAAATTAGCTGTTTCAGCGACAAAAAAGATCACATGACTTTTTGTCGCAAAACTATTAGAGCGATAATTTTATACATGAAAAATTCTATATATTGTTCGTATTTTTCATGTATAATTTTCATTTGCTAATACGTTGAATTAAACAGTTATTAGATTATTCTGATTGCATCGAATTTTCTATCTGAATCAGCAATAAAAAGAAGAATAAATTAGATTATATATATCGCAGTCAACGGTCAAACATCAATATGATCGATACAGTATGTTAGCACTGACAATAACGTTTGACGCTTGTAGTTGAAATTGTTCAAACTACAAAATTTCAGCTGCTGGATGACAAATCTGTCGTTCAAATTGCTTATTTTAGCAGCACGTGAAAATGCACCTTAAAGTCGGTTTTATATTCATTGCAAGCCGATCGCAAGTTGCGACAGCCAATCTGAAGCTTGCATTTTAAAATCAACGCTTCATATGGCAACTTGCATAAATAGGATTGCAACTAATGTAGAACCGGCTTTAGGTAAATTCACGAGTTGTTCTAATCGGCTGTTTCAGTGACAAAAAGATCACGTGATTAAAATGGATATTCATCAATTTTGACCACGTAATCCTTTTTGTTGCTGAAATATCTGGTTTGAACAGCTCATAAAAATTTACTTTTGATCTGAAAATGAGCGTTGAGCGTCAGCATAATAAGGCACCTTAATTGGTTGTTACTTATAGAGCCAACCAATCATATTCAATCACTCGGTAAACATGTGTTAAGGTGTCTTTTCATGCGCAACACGCTGCGATAGTAGAAATGTCACGTAATGCCAATTTTTCATAATTGCTTCCGTTACATTTGCTGCGCATGAAAAAGAATAACAGTAACAGCATATGTTTTAACGTTTAACTTCAAATATGTATCTTTTATTTGCTCAGCTCGAAAATTAATATAGAAAACTTAGAAAGTTAAAAACTTGTGATTATATGGCAACTGTTAGTGCAGTTACAATTTGGACAACTACTATTTTAGGTAATTATTTAGAATTTAGAATATCCCCATCACTTCAAATCTTAATAAAAATGTATTCATTGTATATTAATATATAATGTATTCATTGTAAATGTACTCAATTTTTACATTTTTTGCAAATATTGCAGACTTTCTCAGTTTCGAATTCTTTATAATTCGTTGTTCATTTGATTGAATTTCAATAAGATGCGGCAAAATGTATTTTGCGGGAGTGAGTCATCTCATGTAAAATTTTTAACCAATAGTTACGAACTGTTACCACGGCATGCTGCGTATGAAAAGTCAATTTTAGGTTGAAGTGGAAATTTATAGCAGAACGGAACAGCGCGACCAATCACAACTCCGCAATCATTACTCTGCTTTCTTTTCTGCGATTGTAATTGGTTGCGCTTTTCCATTCCGCTGTAAATTTCCGCTCCATGGGACGGTGGCCTTAGCGGGATTTTCTAAACATCTTATCGATGATTGTCTAATAAAAGACGCGCTTTCTTTCAGGATTGTCCTGCCATCGCCTTGACTATCTAGTTAGTTAACGATAGCAACAATCGATAAAAAGTTTAAAGTTCTCTTCTTAGCTGAAGATCCAATCAATATATTAAATAAATAACAATTATCAATGAATTTTTCCTCTTTATTAATTATTAATATTTATTCAATTTTTCTATTTAAATATTTTTTAATATAACATATTAAATAATATTTTTTATCTCTTTCTTTTTCTATTTTATTTTTCTCTCTTTTTTTCCGTTGCTAACTGATTCGCTAACTGACAGATAATTGTCGAAAGTAGTCGACATTGAAATCGACATTGAACGCCGATAAAGTAATTACTAATCATTTCCCTTGCAATCATGTTCCTGTCGATGAGTCATGTTTCTTTTTGACTACATAACGGCACATAAAAAAATTAATCTATTTACAGTCAGTCTATTTACGCGATTAATCTATGGACAACTCGTGGGCGGAAAAGTGGGGCAAGGAGTGATGGAAAGGGAAAACAGGAGGCGTGACTCAAGATAGAGTTATCAAATCACGGCTGATCATAGCGGACATTTGTCAGAAGAGTGCAAACGAACCTTCAAACAGTAGTCTTGTGAGGAGGACATTCCCTGTGATTGTTCTTGCGATCGTCTCCTGTGAAAATCGTCATCGGCAATGGAGACGTACGAGAGCGTCCTCCTGGTGAAATCCGAGGTGTTTGTCTTCAAAATTCCACCAAGGTCGACCAACAGGGGTTATCGGTAAGCGTGAGACGCCTCTTCACGCGATGTTTCACTGGGCTGTTCAATATGTTATCAGTGACGGATCCGTAATTTCACGTAAAGACAATGTTCGAGTCGCTCGAATAAAATAAAGATAGTACATATTAAAGCACATCAATGATGCTTTTTCCATGTTTACGGAATCGATCTCAAAATTCACGTTCTGTCATAGGGCAGCCGATTGGAATCTACAAGAGCCCTCCTGGACCGGACGTATGCGATTGGTGTCGCAAGGCGACAGCATCACAATAAAGCTGGAAGATAAGATCACGGGTGAACTGTTTGCTAAGTGTCCTATTGAACAATATCCTGGGATAGCAGTAGAACCAGTTACTGACTCATCTAGATACTTCGTTCTGAGGATCCAAGATGACAATGGACGGTCAGCGTTTATAGGTGTCGGCTTTTTAGACAGGTCTGATAGTTTTGATCTGAATGTTGCTCTTCAGGATCACTTTAAGTGGTTAAAAAATCGAGAGCAGATCGAGAAAGAGAAGGAAAAGCCAAAACAAGAATTGGATCT